GGAGGTGGTGGTGGTGGTGGTGGTGGAGGAGGCTGTGGCGGAGGAGATTGAAAAATACTATATAAAAGTGGTTGTGATTCATCATTTATGATAATGTATATAACATATATGCATACGTGGTATAATATATCTAATTGATTATGTGAAGTATATACAGATAATGTATTTATTTGATAGAGTAGCACTCATGGTTATTCTAGAAATAAACTACACATATTCGTGCATAAAGATTGTATTTAAATATCGATTTAAATATTGAAGATCAACTCGGATTGAGTTTCATAATCTCGAGTTAGATATTTGACCATGATATACAATCTGTTGATAATATCTATTCTTTTCTGTTAATTGACGATTCCACCTAGGTATATTTACAAATAAGTAGCGCACATCTGTTAGATTTTTTAGACGCTGCAGTCGATAGTTCTGTTATACTACCTTACGTGTATGTTTATAGAAGTAATACGATAACATACACGCAAGCATATCCCCTCACTCAACAAAGCGACGAAGACCAGCACATGACTCACTTGCAATACAGAGAAAGACTTTCAGAAGTGCTATGGCAATAAGAACATCCATCGCGTGAGTGATACATTTATCCGGTAAATCTATGATTATTAACGAATTAATTGTGGTTGTAAATGGTCTACATTGTAGATTTTTGTTTTCACCTGTACACCTTATCTAACTGTGTTTCGATACGAATCTCTCGGTAACTTTTATAACTTGAATGAATTAAGAGTACTGTTTTTTATATTATTTCAATAAAAGATGATTTACAGCTGATCTCTGTGTATATTTAAAAAACAAAGTTCATCCATCAATTTTGTGAAAATGAGAACCTATTTACTTAAAATGTTTTTATTTACTTAAATAACTGTCTGACCTTTCCCCGACATCACATTATGCTGTTTTATTATAGCAATGCTTATTTACTGCTGCTCTTGCCCCAGTTGTAAAGGTTTACAAGGTTTGCCAATATTCCGTGGTTAAATATTGATATAATAAGAGTTTAATGTGAAATGTCTTGTGTACCTGTCATATGTTGTGATATTTTAATCGGGTTTTATTGGAAAGGAACGAGTGGTAAAGTCCGGTCGTATGTAATATCAGTATGACACAAACGATGAACAAACATGATGGAGTGGCTTCCCTTGATTAAAACTATCACCTACATTTCGTTATAATATATGGTAATATGTGCATTTGTATTGTCGCATTCATAATTTCTGTAATCATTTTTGAGGAGAAGAACTCAATTATGTCTTTAAAATCTATTCCAATTAAATGTAAAAGCAATAAAATGTGTTTAAACTAAGATTAAATATTTTTGTATAAATCAATATTTTATATAATACGCTAATATACTCGCAAGTATCTTTTTTGAAAATAAAATATCATTTTGAATAAATATATATTATATTCCTACTCCATTTTAAATTAGAGCCATAAGATCATTTTTATCGGAAGAATTGATGGAAATGATTTATTAAAATGATAAGTAAGTAGCAATATATTTAGTTG